CAAGCACATCTTTTCTTTTTCAAATTTCAAGATTAATTTAGAGAAAATGTGCCGTTCGCTCGAAGATCAACTGAACGAGGTGAAAACCAAAGAGGAGGAGCATCAGAGGCTAATAAACGACCTTTCAAGCCAGAAAGCTCGACTGCAGACGGAAAACGGTGAGGAATATTTGATCATGTCTGAGCAATGAAGCCAGCAGTTGTATACTCTCACAGACGAGGCAGCTCTAATGTGTTTAACATTCATCGTGCAGGTGAAATGTCTCGCCGGCTTGAAGAAAAAGAGTCCTTAATGTCACAGCTGACTCGGGGAAAACAGGCCTTTCTCCAGCAGATTGAGGAGCTGAAGAGACAGGTTGAAGAGGAGGTTAAGGTAACGTCTGACCGAAGAGACGAGCACGATGAACTGTTTTAAAGTTTAAAGGAGTGTTTATGCAACTTCTGTAATTTCCTCAAAGGCAAAAAACGCCCTGGCTCACGGTTTGCAGTCGGCTCGCCACGACTGCGAGCTGCTCAGAGAGCAATACGAGGAGGAACAGGAGGCCAAAGCTGAGCTGCACCGCTGCCTGTCCAAGACCAACAGCGAGGTGGCTCAGTGGAGAACCAAGTATGAAACTGATGCCATCCAACGCACCGAAGAGCTTGAGGAGGCCAAGTAAGAAAAATCTCCACGCCGGTTCAAAACAAGATAATCTTCTGAGATCTTACGATTGTTCTCCCCCCGCAGGAAGAAGCTGGCGCTGCGTCTGCAGGATGCAGAAGAAGCTGTGGAGGCTGTCAACTCCAAGTGTTCCTCTCTTGAGAAGACAAAACAGCGGCTGCAGGGAGAGGTGGAGGACTTGATGATGGATGTCGAGAGGTCAAATGCTGCTGCTGCGGCCTTAGACAAGAAGCAGAGAAACTTTGATAAGGTTTTGATCTTGAGTCTATCTGGATGTCATGTAGATGCACGCTAATGTGACTGATATTCAGTTAGTAGAATATAATAAAACTACAGGAAGTATCATGTCGAGGAAGCTAATGAATGGAAGAAAAAAATATCAAGCTGCTGTTTGGTTGGTTTGGCGAACGTTATGTCTGGTTATCTTTCCCAAACAAACAGCAGTTAGTCTTCATCCTTTTGGTCTCAAACACTGCAGCTAAAGCATGAACCTCGCCTTTGTTCAACCTCATTGTACCATATCCGTATCTGCATTTTGAAACCCATTGCCTGAGTTTATATTGTTTTGTTGCTGTCTTGGTCTTAGAAAGTCAATGAATCATTCAATTTCACCTTTCATACAGTTTAGGGCAGTACAAAGCGCTTCACAGATGACTGACAATACGACAATAAGACAGAATGAAATAAAAAACAGTAAATTAAAAAATAAAATACAAGGATAAAAATGACAATAAAATAAACAGTAGCAATAACTTAGTTACTTTAAATCAAATCTATACTAGAAACTAGATAACATAGATTAAAAAGAAGAAGCAAAAGTAACAAACAAATAAAATCAAAAAGGATTACGGTATTAATAAAATAAATTAGCAATACAAATTTTACTTATAAAATATAAAATAAGGTAAATAATGTCTAAAAAACATTCTTAGTTAAAAGCTGGAAAGGCTGGAGAAGTAGGTTTTGAGTTTATGTTTAAAGATTTCAACACTTCCAGCTGCTCTCAGATCCTCCGAGATCTTTTCTGTTGGACATAAACTCACATTTACATGTTTAACCAGATTTATTTCATAACAATAGTTTGTTTTAAACATCCAGCTGTAATATGCCTTCCTGTAGGTTTTGTCTGAGTGGAAGCAGAAATACGAGGAAAGTCAGGCAGAGCTGGAGTCGGCCATAAAAGAGGTTCGTGGTTTGGGCACCGAGAACTTCAAGATGAAGAACGCCTTCGAAGAAACCCTGGAACAACTGGAGACCCTCAAACGGGAAAATAAAAACCTGCAACGTATGTCGCTCCTTTGCATTTAATGAATAGTTAATGTCTTTAATGCAGAGAAATAATGCAACATATCTTCCTTTCCCAGAGGAAATAATGGATCTGACTGAGCAGTTGGGAGAGACGGGAAAAACCATCCACGAGCTGGAAAAATCAAAGAAACAGGCTGAGCAGGAGAAGCTGGAGGCCCAGACTGCTCTGGAGGAGGCAGAGGTCAGCAGAAGATAATTCTAAATGACGTATATTTAAACATCTGGTACAGTATTTACAGCCTTTCACATCTGAACTCAGGCCTCCATGGAGCACGAGGAGTCCAAGATCCTGCGAGTCCAGCTGGAGCTGAACCAGCTGAAGTCGGAGGTTGACAAGAAGATAGCGGAGAAGGACGAAGAGATCGAACAGCTGAAGAGGAACAGCCAACGAACCATCGACACCATGCAGAGTAACCTGGACGCTGAGGTCCGGAGCAGGAACGAACGCCCTGAAGAAGTGAAGAAAATGGAGGGGAGACCTGAACAATGAGATCCAGCTGAGCCACGGCCTAACAGGCAGGCGGCCGAGTCCCAGAAACAGCTGAGGAACATTCAAGTCCAGCTGAAGGTGAGCAGCGTTAACATAAACCCTGCAAAGACTTAAAGCTTAATATTAATACGCTGTTCTCCTCCTGGACCAGGAAGTTCAGATTCACCTGGACGAAGCGCTGAGAAACAGCGAGGACCTGAAGGAGCAGGTCGCCCTGACGGAGCGAAGGAGCAACCTCATGCAGGCAGAGATGGAGGAGATCAGAGCAGCTCTGGAGCAAACTGAGAGGAGCCGCAAGCTAGCAGAGCAGGAACTGCTGGACGCCAGCGAGAGAGTGCAGCTGCTTCACTCACAGGTGCAAATCTATCAGCTGATCAATATTTTTGCTTCCCGGCTTAGCAGAGTGTTGAAAGTGTTAAAACAGCAGGCAGCCACAGTTAGAGACAAGCTGGTGAACACAGTGGAGCTTTTAGTCAGTAGAGACTGAAAACAGAGCTGAAAGAGAGTGAATATTGGACAGAAACAGGACGCCAACTGATTGATAATGTTGCTTTATATATGCTGTAATTGTAAACAGGCAGTTTATTATAGCGAGAATATGTCAGCATTGTGTTCACTGCTTGTTTCTGCTGCCCCAAGTGGCCAAAAAAATCAGTAATTGAAGATTTAAGACAGAAAACATCCAGATATCACACAGTGTGCAGCTTTTAGATAATACTGAAACTACAGGGTTACAGTTAAAACATCTAAAATCCAATCTGAATTTTAGGCCTTTCAGTGTCTTAAAAATTGATTGGATTAATGACGTTAATAAAGTTGCCTTTTTCAGTCAGTGGAAAATATTTTTATTATCCTGATTTTTCCTTGACATATTTCCTACTTTTTTTGCCAGTATGGACTTGAAATAAGCCTTAAATTGTATTTATAATAGTCTTTAAAAATGTCTGATTTTTTTTTTGCAAAAACCCTGAATTAGCTCCAAACCACCAAACTCTTGTTAGGAGAAACATACATAATGATTCCTCAGGTAGAGCAGGACAGTGAATCATCTGTTGTATCATAGAAAACAACAGTTCATATTTTAGCGTTATGTTGTCGTCTCTTACAGAATACCAGCCTGCTCAACAGTCGGAAGAAGCTGGAGGCCGATCTTTCTCACATTCAGGGCGAGATGGACGACAGCGTTCAGGCAGCCAGGAATGCCGAAGAGAAAGCCAAGAAGGCCATCACGGATGTAAGCGTCTGGATTTCCTTCTGATTCACTCTCAGCTGCCCGGACAGCACAGTCCAATCACAGGTTTATTTACACTTTATTTCAGGCTGCCATGATGGCTGAGGAGCTGAAGAAGGAGCAGGATACTAGCTCTCACCTGGAGAGGATGAAGAAGAACCTGGAGGTTACAGTTAAGGACCTGCAGCACCGCCTGGATGAGGCCGAGAACCTGGCCATGAAGGGCGGGAAGAAGCAGCTCCAAAAACTGGAAGCAAGGGTAAGCGTTTTATTTAAATTGAATCTGCTTTATTCAACCATTTATTCCAGTAAATAGGCATCATGTGAGGAATGTATCTGCTATTTTGCAGGTGCGAGAGCTGGAGAACGAGCTCGAAGCGGAACAAAGACATGGGTCGGATTCTGTGAAAGGGGTTCGCAAACTTGAGCGCAAGATTAAGGAGATCACCTATCAGGTAAAGTCAAACAATATGTAAAGTAAAAGTCGGTAACATTTAGTTAAAGGTTATATATATGAAATTTAGTTGACAGTGGAGGACCAGCATCTCAGGGCAAAATAATTCTACTGAAATAAACTAATAAAAACTGTATTTGTTAGTCTTTTCAACAATCATCAACTCTCTAAAAAGTAAATTTTTCATGAGCTCATTTCACGAGTTTTTCAGCTTCATTTTCCAGCTGATCCAAGAGAGGTTTTAAATAGTTAATTTAGCTTCAACAGGGCTGCACGATAGAGTAAAAACATCATATTGTTTATGATTATTGGTGGGAATTATCATCATGCATCATAAATTTAATTTTCACTGAAAAAACTATTAAAATTATGATGATGTGATATTCGTTGGAGTCTGTACTAAACAAACATACCTTAACCCTCTCTCTACAGATCCCCAGTATTTCATTATACTTTAATATTATATTATATATATTAATTATAATGCTGTTTGTCATATTTTAGCTTTATCAAACAGTTGCAGCTTCCTACGATTTGCATATAGCACTTGTGATTTCGATAATATTGTGTAATCTGAAAAGTAACTAAAGCTGTCAGACAAATAAAGTGGAGTTAAAAGTTCAATATTGACCTCTGAGGTGTAGTTTAAGACGTATAAAGTTGTTAATTATCGGTTTTCAGTCTGATGAGGACAAGAAAAACATGACACGGCTGCAGGAGCTGGTGGACAAACTGCAGCTGAAGGTCAAAGTGTACAAACGGCAGGCTGAAGAGGCTGTGAGTGACTGTTGTTTGACACGTTCATTATCATTATTATTATTATTATTATTATTAATAATCTGTTATTTGGTGCCTGCCAGGAGGAGCAGGCCAACACTCATCTGACGAAGCTGAGGAAGGTGCAGCACGAGCTGGAGGAGGCCGAGGAGCGAGCCGACATCGCCGAGTCCCAGATCAATAAGATGAAAGTCAAGAGTCGTGACATGGGGAAGGTGAGTCAGTCGGCTCCTGGCAGCACACGGTATCTCATTAATGCTGATAAACATTAATATTTCTCTCATTTCCTCATTTACAGGCGAAAGACAGCGGAGAGTAGTCGTAGCCATGGAGACGATAAAGTGTCTCTGAAGCTGAGCTGGAATACGACACACTCTTTATTTCTTCATTTAAAGCCGTTATCTGTGTGGTTTTATGGGATCATTTCAATTATTTTGATGGACTATACTGAAAAAAACAAGCCAAAGATTATTTAATGTAATCATATTATCTTGTATTGAGCAAAAGGAAAAGATCATTTTTAAAACTAGCATTAAAATCTGTCCACTGAAAGACTGTAAAGGGACTTAAAACTACTCAAAATGCCAGAAAATGTAGTAAGTTGTGTTTATTACAAGCAATGAAAACTCAGTTATTTAGGATTTTCTTAAAATAAGTGTTTTAGTCACTTTATTGAGCTGAATTTAAGAATTTGTACCTTAATCACAAAATTAATAATTAGCAAGAAAAATCTTACAATAAGACACAATTTCTTCAAATAGTATAATAAAAATAAGTGATTTTCTCTTAAATTACGCTGTAAAACCTGAAATTAATGTACAGTAATTAACTTTGCAGCTTTGCCAGCACAGTGCTGTATTTTTATAATTTCTTACTGTATTTTAGTAACTTTACAACACAGTTCTGGTCAGAGTGTAAGTAAATTACTGTATTAGTTTAGTTTAATTAATGTAAACACACTGGTCCTTTAAATTAAAAAGTGTATGAAAGAGGAGCAAAGAACGAAACAAAGAAAAGAAAAATAAACTTTTATTTTAGGAAATATCTAAAAAGAAACTGCATAAGTAATATTGTCCATTATTATTATTATTATTATTATTATTATTATTATTATTATTATTATTGGTACAGTAACAATATTTAAATACAGCATATGTTATAAAATAAATAAAAATGTTTTTTGTGTGCGTTTTTTTTGCCACTGTAGTTTCTCCTACAAGCTTGGAAGGGGAGGGTGAAGCGAGGGAGTTGCAAGCTGCTACTTCACCACTAGATGCCACTACATCCTACACACTGGGCCCTTCAAATGCAATGTTTTAATACGACCTCTGGAGGGCGCCAAAGCAGGGGTTTAAATTCTATATATACGTAGTGGCTTTAAATATGAAACTAATTATCACTGAGAGTGGTTTGCTCTGTTGTAGCTGATGTATGATGACTTAATATTTCAATAAAATAATAAAATATAAATCCCACTCTGTTGTATTAATGTAGAAATATTTATATTATTGTTGTTATTTATTGTTGTATATAGCTGTTTTTATCTTATGAATGAAATGTGATCAAGAAAACAGAACAAATGACTTTTAATTTTATAAACATTTATTATTTTTCTAAAAACAGCAAAGACAAGATTTGGGAAAAAGACCAGCAAGAGAGGAAATGATTGATTTGTTCAGTATTTCTGTGCTGGAATATTGTTTAATATCAAGAAATAAAGTTTAGTTTTTTTTATTGTGCTTTAATATTTTATATTAGGTGAAGAGATACAGTGAACCTGGTTCTTCTGTGGCCCCTGAGGCTCCAGTATAAACCTTTATATTATAGATAATTACTTGTATTCTATGTTAAAATCAATTCAAATCAATCAGCAGCTGTTCTTTATTTTATATTTATTCTCCCATTAAAATCACATACCATTTATCTAAATTCTGTTATTTGGAGACATAAATATTGTAACTACAGTGTGTGATCTTCAATGTCGCCAAAATTCAAATGTAATCAGTGGTTCCCAACTTTTTTATCAATCACTGAGTAAACTGACTGATCAGATTTTATTGATCCCTGAGAGGAAAAATAAAAACATTCACAGCAAAAAAAACAAACAAACCAAAATTTTTTTTATTGAGGCTGCAGCTTAAATAAAATAAATCGAGCGAGTGAGATAACAAGAGCAGCTGATATTTTATATTATATTTAATATGTTTTAATAACAGCAGAGAACAACTGATAAACTACAATGAACACACACAGTGAACACAATAAAACAAGTGATGTGGATGAATTCTGAGCAGATTATTTCCTGTAAATATGAGTTTTATTATGATTCTCTGTGTTTTTAACAGTCATACAGACTTAATAGGCTTCTTATTTTGACACATTTAGACATTCAGAGATTTATGCTCTAAAAAATAACTATTTTATTATAAATTCAGAGGTAGAAACATGTTGGATGTATGTTTTTTTACACCCCTTAAAATCAAGACGGCTTCGTGACATGTTCTTGGGGACAGGACCCCAGGTTAGGAACCATTGATACTGGATTTATTATGTAATAAAAAATAAAAGTAAAATGTAATATAAATGAATGGATGATTTCTATTTTAAAAACTTACTGATATGATATGAGTTAACATGCTATGATATTAATAATATATGATAAACTATAATCTATAATATATATATATATATAACTGGAGTCCAACGTTCAGCTACTCGCCCTGTCCTTCCTGTGCCTGCAAAACAAACACATTTAAGGCAAAAACACTGAATATTAATACATCATTTTACATGTTATATACAGAATATGTAAAAAACACAAAAGCTTTGATCACAGAAGCCAAAAACATTATAATAATTCCCTGAAAATGCACTTTTTTTTACACAGTTGAAGCTTTTTTTAAAACTATTTATGGAATAAAAGCGGATAATTTACATTATTATTTGTTTTTGACTTATAAACTGAAATCCAACCATACAGAAAATAAGAAAGTGTTGAGTTTAGGTACCAACTTATAAATATTCGTAATAAACAGCATAAATTAAATTCGGTACCTTGGTCCCTATTTCGCGGCTCTTTGCTCTCATCTTGTTGGCGAGTGTTTCGGCCACGTCAGCTCTCTCCTCGGCCTCCTCCAGCTCGTGCTGAGCCTTCCTGAACCTGGCCATGTGCGCGTTAGACTGCTCCTCCTGGAAATGAATCCTTCGATTATTAATAACAGACGCATTCACTCGTTCACTCAGAGTATTTCTGCTGGTTGTGATTTGCTCACAGCTTCTTCAGCATGCCGCTTGTAGGCCTTCATCTTGTTCTGGAGCTTGTCCACCAGATCCTGCAGTCGCGTGTTGTTTTTCTTGTCTTCCTCAGACTGAAAGATGTAAAAACAAACTTCTGGATTAACTCTTTTATTATTTTATGATTTTTATAGAAACAATATGGCACTGAAATGTTTGTAGGTTCAGTTAAACGTATAATCTGCAACATTTCTGCATTAAAATGTCTATAAACGCTGGAGCTATGTTCTATATGTTGAGTTGTGTTCTTACATTATCTCAAATGTTTCCAACAATGTTCAAACTCAGAGAAATTTGTCATTTTATTTCCTACTTACATCGTCTTGCTTTAACTTGTAGGTAAAAGCGGCATAATAAAACTTTAATTTACCTCATCAGCAATGCTGGTTGTTTAACAATGAAGACAACAACTCCAGGACATTGTTAAACCCTCTAGTTGCAGAATATATATAGAAGAACATATACATATAATTCTTTAAGCGACAGCTGTTGCAGCGTTACCTGATAACTGAGCTCTTTGACTTTCCTCTCGTATTTACGGACTCCTTTTATGGCCTCTGAAGAACGTTTCTGCTCAGCTTCCAGCTCATTTTCCAGCTCACGGACCTGAAGAGCACAATTCAAGAAAGAGCCTTGAGGATTTTTATTAGGACTTTTGAGTTGATTAATGGTGTCGGACTTCCTGCCAGTGCGATCTGCTCTGTGCTGCTTGACGTGAGTGGGTCGCAGCTTCCATCAAAAATAGATAACATCACAATAAAACATTAGTTTTTAGTCTCTTTATGTTCCCTAAAAGGATCCAGCTATTCTTCATCAGCCATCATCACTGTTGTCTAACATCCTCACATCATCTATATACTAGATGGTCGATATCTGTAACGTAGAACACCGCCTACGTACCCTCGCCTCCAGTTTCTGTAGCTGCTTCTTCCCGCCCTTCATGGCCAAGTTTTCAGCCTCATCTAAGCGGAGCTGCAGGTCTTTCACCGTCACCTCCAGATTCTTCTTCATCCTCTCCAGGTGAGAGCTGGTGTCCTGCTCCTTCCTCAGCTCTTCAGCCATCATGGCGGCCTACAGGTGTCATAACAGGAGCATACATTTTCCATCAGGTCTGTGTTAAATTAAATAAAAAAGCCCTGTGAGAGCAGCTTACATCAGTGATGGCTTTCTTGGCCTTCTCCTCGGCGTTCCTGGCCTCCTGAACCGCTTCCTCTATCTCAGAGTGAAGCTGAGTCACATCAGCCTCAAGCTTCTTTTTGGTGTTTATAAGACTGGTGTTCTGCCAGATAAAGATAAAAGAGATGTGACTTATAAATCCTGCAAATCAGAAAGGGTTTGTTCTGTGAGTGGATACTGGTAGACAACCCACCTGAGAGTGCAGAAGACCTGCGCGCTCACTCGTATCAACCAGTTCCTGCTCAGACATTTTACGGCTCCGCTCCGTCTGCTCCACGACGGCTCGGAGCTCTTCAACCTCGGCCTGCATCAAGGCCGTTCTGCGCTCCATCATGGCTACCTGCTCCTTCATGTCATCCTGCCCCCTCATAGAGTCATCCAGGTGGATTTGGGCGTCCTGAAAAGGCATTTATCCATCAGTCTTTCTTAATATCTTTACAGCTGCTGGCCAGATTGGAATTAAATGAATGAATTAAGCACAAATATAATAACATAATAAATAACACTTGTCCATCAATGATAAGCACCTAAAATATTTCAGTTAACTTTCTTTTAGCACCATCATGAAGCCAATGTTTCTACTGGTGTTTCCACCCATTTCCAAGCTCTCCTGCCCTTTCTAAAAGTCCACTTGTTCAGGCAGACTTTTAGTTAATGTACTGGTGGTTTTAATTGTAAATTTTTTCTATTTAATTTCATTTCTTTGAGATGTATGTGTATATATATTCTACCTAATGTGTTTGTTTTGATGCCACACTGTAAAGCACATTGAGCTGCACTTCATGAAAGGTATGAAAGGTGCTGTATAAATAAAGTTATTATTATTAGTCAGGTGGTTTGGTTCAGCGT